ATAAGGAGATGTAAATCCTGGGGATGTGGCATCTCTTACAGAGATCTTATCAGAGATACGGTATCTCTTGTAGAGATAAAGGCTAATATCAGATATGTGTAATATATGAGTAGGGTGAAAATGCTTGTATATATAACATCTCCATGAAGACCTCTGAGATCCCCGATTTCGTGGATCTGTGACACTGCTGCAGTGAAGTCTGTGAGTAACCTGGACTAGAACCAAAATCTCTAATAAAACAATACAACAATATCTTTTCTTTTTCCAGTCTCGTGCATAGTCTTTCGACATTTTTGTTTTTCGACATTTTATTTTCGGTATTTTTGTTTTTCGACATTTCTATTTTCGATATTTTTATTTTCGACATTTTACCTTCGACATTTTTACTTTCGACATTTTCACTTTCGATCAAATTCAGGTTTACCGGTGAAAGATCCATACTAGGCATTCAAGATAATTTAATAGCACATGTAATATTATACTAAAACAAAGACAAAAATCAAATCCATTACATCCAGAAAATAAATCAAATTCATGGTCACAAAAAACTAATTTGTAAATAGAATAAGATAGTGCTTTGTTTTGTGGATTGTTCCAATCATAATAAGTTGACTTATGAACAGAAAGCCAATTCGCTATTCTTTACTTTACTAAAATGACTGTAATATAGTTACTACGTCTATTCTGTTTGTATTTGCTTTCATTCGATACATCGTTAATCTGTATTATCAATACTTATTCATGTCTCTATCGGTTATTTTACAATAAAAGAATGTCACGAAATGTGTTGAAATTTAAGGATCGAAAAGAAAATTGGATTGGATTTTCATTTGCACGAGAATTGGAAATAACTCATTTCCTTTTTTCGAAATATATCTGACATTTAAAACTTTTACATCTAATAATGATTCGAACATTTTCGTGTGTATAGTCTCTTATATATATAAATAATAAATGGGGTAGAATATGAACTCTTGACAATCTAGTAAAATGCTCCTACATAATGTTATCATGTAATTACATGACGCTAACCTTTATATTTCTATTAGACGATTAAAGTGTAATGAAAATATACTGGTTGAGAAAAAAATCGGTTTACTTTGAATCATAGTAAAATAATCTACTCAAGCATTAGATTTTCTCGGAAAAAAAATGGAAATTTCAACCGCTGCCGCGACGCACTGCGACGGTAAAAAAAGAAAACTAGCCGCTGCCGCGACGCACCGCGACGGTAAAAATGAAAACTTGCCGCTGCCGCTCCGTGCCGCGACGATAAAGAAACAAAACTTGCCGCTACCGCACCGCTGCCACCATGGTGGAAGCGGTGAGGCAACGGTAGCACCACCATGGACATCTCTGGCCTATATAGACCATTTGCATTGACTAGAACCTCTACGATCCACTCATACATTAGTCCATTCTTTCGTTGATAATACATATTTCTTTGTCGTGACCGATGTATAAAATGCGAGGGAATAGATGAACAAAAATTAGTTGAAAGATAGCATAACATTTTTCGTTCCAGTATTATCGTTAATAAAACATAAACAAAAAGACCTAATAAATAGTAGATTTCAAATTATTGATTGGATTTATTTGGATAGTGTTTTGAATAGAAAATGTTTAAAAGAACACAATTTTTCCTTAAACATGACATAAATGAAGTGAACAGATTCATTGAAGAACAAGATAATGCATTTGGTTATGGGTTTACTACAATATTATCCGATAGTCAATCACCTACACCATGTCATGGAGTAAGTTTAAGAATATGTCAATCTTCTTTCATATTATTATGAATAAAGATTAACAAAGATACAAAGATTATAAAATGAAAAGAAATTCATAGATGTAGATTAGATTTAAAAATTTGATAATAGATTGAATAGAGAATATTTGAAAAATTTTTAATATCTAAAAGGGATGTGAATAGAACAATTGTTAAAAACTAAAAGTTAACTTTTATTCATGGTGATAATGATCTATCATTCTCGTCAAAAACTTCTTTGAAAAAATCATATCATAATAATCGATACTAATAATAGATATACATGATAGAAAAAAATAATCATCTCACCAAACGATAGACTATAAGTAGTTAAATATGTTGAATATACAGATGATGTCAAAAGTTCATTGATCATAGTAAACAACAAGTATGTTAGACATTTACTAAAGCACTGAATGTTAAATAAGAGGCAAATAATTAAATATTAATAATAATTTTTTTCTCTTTTCTTTTGAGTGTCTTGAATTAATGGATTCACGTTCGACATGTATATATATCAAACGAGTCGATTGTAATAGTATTTGGCATCCACAATGTTTTATATGTACAAAATGTAAACAATTTCTTGTTAATTTAATATATTTTTATAAAAATGGTCAACTTTATTGTGAATAACATCGTGCTAACTTATATAAACGACGATATACAGGAGGCGATCTAGTATGTATTTTGTTGAAGAAAAAACTTTCATACTTCATCCATCTTGTGGTTAGCAATATATCCAACTCATGAGTTAGCTCATTCAAAACATTATATCATAATCTAACAATATTCAAACTGATTTAGTGATAAGGAAGAACGTCTTTCATTTCATACTGTAATAAAAACATGACTATAATATGTGAATTACTAGTAATAAAGATCGAAATATTGAGATCTTAGGACAGATATTATTCTTCATCTGATATTCTTTGATAACTACACAACTTTGTAAATAATTCTAATAAAGCGAATGAATAATTAAGCTTTGTCAAACTTATTTATGGTGATATATTTGTAAATGATTGAGTAAGAAAAAAACTAATTTTTATTTCTTATTTATCTATTTAGATTATATTTATTTTTACATGTAATGAATATAAAGATCGTGGTTCGGATATGTATCGATTTTGTTGTTCATTTTATAAACAATATTTAGCTGGTGAACGTTATATTGAGCGACGAGGCCAATTATTTTGTTTAGATTGTTTCGAAACAACGTATGCAGAATATTGTGATATATGTTGTGAACCCATTGGGCCCTCTCAAGCTCGAATAACTTATGAATCACATCAGTAGCATGCAACAGAAACATGTTTTTATTGTTATGTCTGTCTTATTCCTTTAAATAATAGTGATTTTTTACAAGATTATGGTATATTATTTTGTTCAAATGAATGTGCATCACAAATAAGTAATCATTCAATAAGTACAAAATTGATTCAACAAAATAACCTTCATTCAAATGGAATGTTGTCTTTAATATCATGTACAAAATCAATAATAACATCACAATTTCCACGTTCAAGTTCATTAAATGGTTCATCAAGATTTACAAAACAATATCGTGTACATTTTGTTGGTAATGAAAAAGAAAAAAACTCAAAATATTCACCAACAATGAGTTATAAATCAAAATTCTTATGTCGATCATTATCATCGTCATCATCAACTGTTCATGATGATAATCAAGAAGATATTAATTCAATATTTGATCAATTTGATATGTGTGGAATTCATTTACGAAAACCAATAAATTGTAGAACAGAAATAAGTTATGTTGATGAAACAAGTACAATAAATACAAAATTAATGAAAAAAACAACAACATTAAATAAAAAACAGAAAAACTCTAATGAAAAACGAGGAAAAACAAATTACATTGTTAGTTCATTTTTTTTCTGTATATATTCTAAATCTCTTCATTAAGATACCTTTCACGTATTCTTTGTTTAAAATACGTTTGTGGATTTAAAAAAAGTTTTTCTTTGTTATTATTTTCTTGCGCACTTCTTTTTTGGGAAATATCTCTTTTTTTTATTTGTGTGCGTATTTTGATACAATAAATTATTAAAATATTAGCATTGAAATAATATTTAAGATGTAGATAATTCAAAAATCGAATAAAAGTTTTTTCTTTGATTTTTTTGCACAGATCGAGAATTGAAAATAATCTCCAGTAAAAGCAATGATAAATTCATCTGATTCCTTTTTCAAGATATTAGATAAGGTCTTATAACCAATAGGTGAAAGCGTAGAACACGTAGGATATCCTGGAGCTGAATTCGAGTATTCTGTAACTGGATTCGTCTGTAGGTTATACCAAACTGTAAAAAGGCTATACCAACATAGATCTCGACAAGTTCTATCGATTCCACTATTTACTTATTTTCCAACGCTCCTCCTTCATGGAAAAAACCCAAAATACTGACAAAAATAAGCAAAACAACACGCATTTCCCATAAAGCGCACCGTGATTCGCCTATAGGGTATACCAAAAACTGAAAATGATATACCAAGATAGAACTCGTCGAGCTCTATCGAATGGACACCTTTTCGGCTCGATTCGACCTGTGTATCCCCTCCGCAAGGGCAAATCCTGGCCTGAAGGGTGTGAGTGTGGGTATTATATTAAGCCATACCTACACCCACCCACACCCAAACACCCCACACTCACACACCCACAAAAAAATATTTTTGAACATTATAGGTGGATATTGGTTTTGTGCGTAGGCTATAGAATGTCACAAATGATATGTTATAAAGATTATAGTAGATATCTCAAATATAACAGTTATGCCATTCAGCACGAATAGATGCACTGACATGACAAGTTTGTAATATCAAAGTGTATGCGTACAATTTTAAAAAATACATTAGTTCGTGACTCTTTTAAAACGATGTTTGGAAATTAGGAACAGAATAAAAATTTGTATAATATAATGTTTAATTGAACTAATAAATAAAACAAACTTTCTAGGATTTTTTTATTATTTTTTTTTGAAGTATTTCTCACCGCATATGCTCACTACATATGCCAATCAAATGTCGCATTTTTTTCTTACAATTAATTTCATTTTTCAAATATTTCTAACGATTTATAAAATGCGCAATCGTTATTGATTAATTAATGCAAAAGATGCGCGAACAGTATCAGCATTTAAAAATTGAATTTTTCATGAAATTGAGTGTTTTTAATTCTGCAATCATCAAACTGTTAAAAATAAAACAATTTGTTTGATCTTGTATTCAATTCATGTGAGTTATATGATTATTTATTTTCCTTAGATTCATGATCACATTTCCTACATGAATAGTTCTCTGATTTGATTAAAAAAACTATAAATGTTCGAGCTACACCTTAATTACCAAATATGGTTATTATCAATGTTAGGACAGCTTTTCACTAGCAATTCTTCGTTTTTTTGGATAAAGAAAAGACTGAATAAAAACCTTTGTTAACATTAGGATAATTTTTTGCTTGAATATCCTAATGTTAGATATGAAAAATGAACCTCTAACGTGGAGTCTTAATTTTTATCTAAAAAACTTTGAATAAAATCAAGATAACTTTTTGTTGAAAGAATAGCATATATGTTGCCTATCTCTTCATAGGTTTTCTGTAGTGATCATGAATCGAAGAAGAAAATAATCATATGCTTATTTATAAAATATATCGATTTTAAAAATATCATCTCAAAAATAAAGAAAAAAATACATTTACAAATATTTGTTTACTTTATAACTTAAACGAAAAAATACCTGAAGTAAGACTAAGCATCATTAGGCTTAGAATCTCCTCGAATTAAGATATTCTTATACAGAGCCAGAATCTATGAATTTTAACGCAAGCCGTTTGAAAAAATATTATTCCATTCTCGAGATATTAAAAATTTATCAAAGAGCACTATCGTCAAAACAAAAGCACTTTTTGTGATTTTTTTATGAAATTCATATCTCACTAAAACAACATCCGTTTGACTTGAAATTTTTACTGTGCATATAGATTAAGTTAATGTATCTATCATAAAAAGATGAGTTCAAATGAGTAAGCTATTTATGAGTTGACATATTAAATAATATAGAGATATTTTATAAACCCAAAATATACCTTCAACCTTGTGATCAAAATTTCTATAGCTTATGAGCGAGTTATGAGCTCTTGCTTTGCAACTAAGTACTACTGTCTACGAGCCATTAGCAACGATTATCAGAACTTTGATGTTTTGACTTTGACCTGAACAAGAACTTGATTCGATATATATATATATATTGATATTTTTATTCTCTGAAAATGTATCTTTCAAGAACGAAGATTTTTTTTATTCGTTCTTATGTTCAACGAAGATAATAATGTGCTACATATCAGACTCTATTGATTGAGCAATCAGTAAACAAAGTAAACTGAACTAGAGATAGAGAAACAAATGAATAGATTCTGAAAATTATTTTCTATAAAAGATAATCGGTTTTTTTCTATTGCTTTAGCATTTTTTTCTATTTTGCAAACGTAACTGTGCTAGATACATTCTCAAGATTTCTTCTCTATACAATATATTATAAATAGTATGATTATATAGTATAAATCATATGAGATGCCAATAATATGTTTTCTTATAATGTGATAAGTTTTCATACTTGAAAACTTTTCTAACCGGAATGATGTATAAGTATTCAATTATACTATTCAATTGTACAAGTATTATTTAATGAAACATCCATTCTTTTATCATTAAAATGCCTCAGCACAAAAAAAAACAAATAAGGCTATTCATAACTAAAATGACATTACAAGAATTGTTGAGAATATCGCGTTATTTCTTCAATCATTGTTGTTATCTTTTTACGGGCAGTTGTGGTGGAATATGGACAAAGAACGATTTTCATGTTCTAGCGACCCCTGGATAATCCGTTCATCTATTGGATATAAAGTTTAACCCATAACGCTGCCATCCGACAAAGTTTTCAATCATTATGTATATAAAAGATTCTATATCTAGTTTTGAGTATTTTTCTTTTTTCAGTATCTTTCGTTGGGAAAATTACTTGTTTTTTTTTCTTGGAACAATTGAATTCAGAAGCAAAATAAAGTATAGAGTAGCATATTTATGTTTCGTAACTGAACAGCTAATCATTTGAATATCGAAGGCTTGTATGCAGTTAGGATATCAAATTTGGTCATTCATGATCAGTTCTTGTTCAAAATTAAACTAAAATTCTTTAAGAAAACTACTTCTTATTCAATGGGTTGTTGATGTTTCTACTTTAGTTTATAGAATTATAACTTATATATATATATCAGAGTTTTTAATAGAAATCTGAAATAAATTTTATGTAGGTATTTCGTTTCACTGGATAAAATATCCATTGATACTTTGCTATTTAGAACAAAGTACCTGAAAGTATCTCAAAGTACCACAGTTATGAACTGATTTAAGAAAAACAAAAACAAAGTTCTTACTAATCGATCTTTTTATAAAAAATATATTCCTATATGAAAAAAAAACAATGTACGAAAATAAGTAATATATAATAACAAAAATGAAAACACATTCATCTGATCAACTTTAGAAAAAACTTCTCTGATTTATCTTTTTTATAATCATATAAACAGGGTGTCTCAAAAGTCGCACGGGAAAGTACATTCTTATAACTTCTGTGTTTGTCAAAACAAATCAATTATTTTTTTTTTCGCATGATAAACATCATCTAGAAGTTTTATTCATACAGACGAACTTTACAAAAAACATAAAAGATATCACTTTTGACTGAAATAGAGAAAATGTGTTTTTTCCAAATTTTACTGAAAAAGTGTGTATCGATGATTTTTTCGATCACTTCGATTTTTGTAATATCTTACACTTTGAATTGTTTAGGCTTCTTTTATCATTATTTTTTAGATATTCTCATAAAAAGAAATTCAATATTGAAGCTCACTAATATACCACAAAAAACATGTTAACAAAACCACCGTTAAACAGTTGAAAGCTTAAGATATTGCAAAAATTAAAATGATCGAAAAAACCATCGATACATACTTTTTTTCAGTAAAATTTGGAAAAAACATATTTTCTCTATTTCAGTGAAAAGTGATATTTTTTTATGTTTTTTTTGTAAAGTTGGTCCACATGAATAAAAACTTCTAGGTGATGCCTATCATACGTTAAAAGAAAAGTATCGATTTGTATTGACAAATAAAGAAGTTATAAGAATGTACTTTTCCGCGCGACTTTTGGAACATCCTGTACATACGATAATAGTAAAAGATGAATCAGAAAAGTGTTTTCTAAAGTTGATCAGATGAATGTATTTTCCTTTTTGTTAGCAAATATTACTCATTTTCATACATTGTTTTTTTTTCATATAGGAATATATTTTTCATTAAAAGATCGATTAGTAAGCACTTTGTTTTTGTTTTTCTTAAATCAGTTCATAACTGTGATACTTTAAGATACTTTCAGGTACTTTGTTCTATATAGCAAAGTACCAATGGATATTTTGTCAAGTGAGACGAAGTACCTACATATAATTTGTTTCAGATTTCTATTAAAAAACTCTGACTCGAAGTACCCATCTGAGAAAATTAGATTTTCATATTCAACTTTTCAAACTCTTTCTAATGATGTATAGTTTATTCGGTCCGTACGGAATTAAAAAATTTTTTGATCGATTCATATGTAAATAATTTATTCTTTTTTTTCTAAAGTCTGTATAAGTCTTCGTATAGTTTGTAAAAAAAATTGTGTTTTTCTACAAAGTACCTTATCCTTTTTATCAATCTCTTCATTTTTTTAATTGTTTTCTATACCTACAGAAATTCATGACTAGTTTTAAACTTTTATATTAAATAAATGATTTCAATAGCAAAACATTTCTACTATCTCAAAAACTGACTCATATTCTAAATCTTCAAAAATAAACATATTATTATGAAGAGAAAACGTGCATGTCATCTTAGAAATACATTCATATATCTAAGAGAAATTTCCTGAAAAGTAAATATTTTTTTATGTGGATTCAAATTTATCTAAATGATGAGAAATATTTCTTAGAGAAATGATGTAAAATGACCCAATGTTGAGATGTGTTCAACCAATTATGTAAAGATTAATAGCGCCATCTGCAATACCTTTTTAACAGTACTTTTTTATAGAAAACTAAAAATATCATTTGACAGTGAATAATTTTTTCTATCTTTCAATATCCAAGTTATCTGCAGCCTCTCCCAAAACCGACAACGCAAATCACTGTGCGTCGTTATTGTTTCTCTTATTTCACTATGTTCTTTGCCGACGTGTAGGGATCCATACCATTCATTTATATATGTATATAATATAGAGATATATGTTCATTTCGTTTAACATTATTTACAGAAAATAAATTTCGTTATTGTTTTAGAAAATACACTGAAATGCATACCGTTCCAACATATTTAAGTAATTTATTTGCAACTAAATTTAGATCAGATATACGAAAAGATGAACATTTGTATCATGATCCTTTTAATGATGAATTAATACGTTTACAATTAGATACATCCCATGTCACAAAAACCGGATCAGCTTTAGCGGTAAACCGCGGTTTACCGCGGTTCACCATTAAAAAAACCGGTGAACCGATAAGGAGCCGGTAACCGGACCGGTAAAACCACGGTTAATCGCCGATTTTTGCCCGGTTTTCATCACATGGGATATACATGGCGTTTAACTGAAAATAATCAAAAATTATGAATTATGTCATAGTTATCCAAAATATTGTGTTGTACCATCTACTATAACTAATGGAGAAATTAGAGAAGCTGCCAAATTTCGATCATATAAACAATTTCCAACAATTGTTTGGAGGTAAAAATTTAATATAAACATCTGCCTTAAAGTTTTGAATTATCCTTTCGAAATAGAGAATACTGCACTCTCAGATGAGATTAAACATTGTATCAATACGAAAGATAATTTGTTTTGTTATATTGTTTAAAATGAGAAGGGTAGATAGTACAGATTCAGAGTCAAAAATTTTCTTTCTGTCAAATTCTAGTTCATTTTTTTGTTATCGAAAATCTTATTTAATATAGACATATTAATGGTGCAATTATTGCTGGAGCAGGTCAACCCGAAGTCAGCTGGTCACCTAGGCGTTCAAAAGAAGATGAAAACATGATTCAAGCTATTATTAATTCATGTAATGATAAAGTAACAACAAATTCTATTGAAAGTAAATAATTTTTAACTAAACAAAATTCATATTTTTTTTTGTAAAATTTTATATTTAAAGGTGAAAAAAATTCAAATCGTATATTTATTGTTCATGCAGGAAGTGATGATCCTGCTATTAAAAACTATGCTAAACATTATAGAGATTGTGATCTTGAATTTAAGAATTTACCTGGTATTAATGTTGTAAGTAGAAATGGACGAATGTTATGTGCTATTAATTCAACAAAATGTGAAAAGTAAGTTTAATAAAAAAAGAAAAAAACTAATATTTGAAAAAATCAAAAAACTCTTTTCTTTTCTAGTTGGTTTTCAAAATTAATATCAACACATTGGTTGCAAAATTTGTCAGCATTAATTGAAGCAGCATGTTGTGTTGTTACTAATATTGATGAAGATAATCGATCAGTACTTGTTCATGGTTCAAATAGTGAATATCAAACATCACAAATAATCACGTTAGCTAAAATAATGCTTGATCCATATTATTGAACAATAAATGGATTTCAAATCTTACTGCAACATGAATGCATCAAATTTGGACATAAATTTATTGATGATTATGGTCATACTGTTGATGCAAATGATTCCAATGAACATAATCTTGTTTTTCTTCAATGGTTGGATTGTATTTTTCAATTATTGATCCAAAATCCAACTGCATTTCAATTTAATGAACTATTTCTTGTAAGATTAGAAAAGATTTTCTTTTTAATCGAAAAATCCTTTTTTTTAGCGTGAATTAGCTGCACATACCTACCCAGGTCGAACGATACGGTCCGTAAACGACCGTTTACAGTTACCTGATGACGCATAAACGGACCGTATATGGCCGTAATATCGGGCAGAGAAATACGGCCTTATCATAGTGAGATTACGCCCCGTATAGGACCGTATACTGTGAAAATACGGCCTCGTATACGGTGCCGTATTACTGTGCCTATGATTACGAGAAAATACGGTCCGTTGACGGTATCGTATGAAGCAAATTTACGGTGAAAATATGTATGGCCGTATCCATAGACCTGGGTACTCTTGTATATATGAAACATTTTTATATAATACAACTAATTTAAAAACAAAAACATCAAGTGTTTGGAGCTTATTGAATAGACAATCAACAACACAATTATTCATTAATCCTTCATTTGATGAAACAGCAAAAGTAAAAAAAACCAAAAAATATTTTTATCGAATATTTTTTTAAGGTTCTTTATCCAAAATCATCAATTTCTGATTTATGTTTTTGGTCACAAACATATTCATCCGGTACACAATATACACCTGGTTCATCTGAACATGCATCATCACCATTAGTAAATCGTTCGACAGCTGATCAAAAGTTAAAACGTTCAAGTTCATCAAAACGATTTTTAATAAAAAAAAGAAATAAAAAAGATTCAAAATTAAAACAACAATTAGTTTATGTAAGATTTTTTTATTTGAAATATAAAACAAAAAATTGATTTTAGTAAGTCTCCATCCATGATAGAAACCTTTCCCATACTTTTAACATGACGAGCCGATAGTTACTCTACATATATGTTTATACATGTCAGAACATACCCTTTGTTTATCATGAAATATGAAACTATTTGAATATCGTATGAGAATTTTATTTTCCACTAATCTAGATGTTAGAATAGATATTATTCTTTATATGATAATCGTATAATTGTTCGAATAATTCTAATGAAACCAATGAATAATTAAGCTCTATTAGTATTGTTGATGATGATCTATTTCTAATAAGATGAATAAGAAAAAAACTAATTTTTTTTTCCTTTTTTATCTATTTAGATTAGCCGTAATGATAAAAATGTAATAAAGCTGATGGTCATTCTTCGATTATGAATCATTTTTGTTGTTCAAATTGTAAAGAACGTATGAATGGTGAACATTATGATATTCATGAAAGTCAACCATTTTGTTTAAATTGTTACGAAAGAGAAACAAACTATTGTGATACATGTGGTGAACGTATTGAAACAAATCAACTCCAAAAGGTTCACGAATCTCAACATTGGCATGCAACTGATGCATATTTTTATTGTTATATATGCCATATTTCATTAAATAATCGTCATTTTTTTTCTACATTATGGTGAATTATTTTGTTCAAATGAATGCGCATCACAAAGAAATAATCTTTCAATGAATAGAAAATTAGTTCAACAAAATAAATTACATCAAGATCCTGATATTAATCTAATATCATATACAAATCAACACGTTAAAATGATTCCAGCACGTCCAAAAAATCTGAATCCACAACAAGAAGATATATCACGTGAAAGAATAAAAGATCAAAAAGATTATTTATCAAATGATACTGATACTTGTCATCGTTATAATCGTAATTATCAACCACCAGTATTTGTTCAAAATGAAATATCATCTGATTCAATTTATTCAAAAGAAAAAAAATTAAATATAATAAAAAGTTGTTCAGGTGAACCAACAGAATTTTATAATGATTTCAATTTAGAACAAGTTGATCGTCATGGTACAACACTTGAACTATCAAGGTCTTCAACATGAAACTCGTCATGTACAGAACTTTTTTCATCATCTTCATTCTCTGATGATGATCTAGAGTTGAATTCTATATATGGTGAATTTGATATATATGGAAATCATGTACAAAAAGAACAAATAAAAAAAAATTTTATTATTAGTTAAAATATTGTATTTTTTTTATGTATTAAAAAACTTTTTTTTCTTCTTTTTGTTTATCATGTATTGTAATTTCTTTTTTTTGAAAATATCCTATCTTTTATATGTGTATTCTGATAGGATAAATCAATAAAAGATGAAGATTAAAATATTAGAAAAGAATCTTTTTGCATTTATTACAATAGTCTAGTCAGGCATAGAGGCATTGGGAATTTCCCAATAATTCAAAAGTTATTTCTCAATGCTGAAAATTAATTAGAGATCACTAAACATTGGTTTCATGACGATAACCAGTTTTAAAGGATTGTAGTGCAATTGGCTTTTTTAATTACCCATGGATGTTCACTTCTCAAAATATTTTAGCTAGAAAATGTTCCATGACTCAAAAATTCCTGACTTCATCACCGATAATAAAGAACTATTTATCTTAATATTTCCATTCTTTAATAGCCTGTCAAATTACTTAAATTTGATGATAAACAATGGCAACATGAACTTTCTATTACTAATGAATTTTATGAAAATATAATTGATATTGTTCTAAAAATAAATGCATTTATTAATGATGTTCTTGATGTACCTGTACAACCATACAATGGTAAAACACCTTACTTTATATAAATATATTTTTTTTTGTTCAGCCAGTCAATGAAGAACAAATAAATAATGGGTATAATAATTATCAACGTACAAAAGATGATAATAATAATTATTATTATCATCAACAACGTCGTTATGAATATAATGGGTGCGGCAGAATAAATGAGCCTCTCAATGTTTTGGCTATAGCTTTTTTTCTTTGTGTTCTTTAAAGATAATTGTTTTTCTAAGAGATGCGCTGTCAAATTCTCTACAAACTGTAATCAGACCAATTTCTGAAGAAAGTTAAGGAAAGGAATTAAACGAAGATTATCGAACACATAAAAAGTACCCAACCTTCAAAGCTAACAAGTGTCGAATGAATGGTCGGAGTTTGTATTCATTTTTCTCATCATTTAGTAAGTTTATTTTAAAAGAAAACTATATCAGAAGATACAGCGTGAAAAGCTCTACATGTTACATTAAAAACTTTATGTACTCTTTCTTTTGAAAGTGGATGAAACATTGTCCGACCAATTTTAGATGCTGCGAAAAGATCATTTATTGGTCGCACGGAACTTTGCTTATTTTAAAAAACAAAAGATGCATAAACATAAAATAAATTGTTCTTTGTAAATTGTAGAGCTTTTCACGCTGCATCTTCTGATATACTTTCCTTTTAAAATAAACTTACTAGATGATGAACAAAAAAGATACAAACTCCAGCCATTCATTATGGAACACTCGTTAGCTTTGAAAGTTGGGTACTTTTTATGTGTTCGATAATCTTCGTTTAATTTTTTTCCTTAACTTTCTTCAGGAATAAGTTTGATTATGGTTTTGTAGAGAATTTGACGGTGCATCTTTTGGAAAAACAATCAGCTCGATAGAACACAAAAAAAAGCTATAGCCAAAACATTGAGAGGCTCATTTATTCTGCCTCACCCGTTAATAATGATTATCGTCAATCACCAACTCAAAATCACGAACAATCATCATCATTTAATAGTTATCAAGAACAAACATTTTTTTAATCGTAGTCATAATGGTGTATTTAAACAAGTTATGTTTATTCCAAGTAATTATGTTGCACATATTGTTGGTAAGGTAGATTTTATGTTTATTCCCTTTCTTTTTCTTAAAATATTTATATTTGAAGGTATATGATCTTGAAATTTACGACATATACAATTAAAATGTCATTTATGTGATATTATTGTTGTTCATCATCTAAATGAAAATGATTATGGGCCTATTCCATGGGGTTTCTCCCACAAAAACACAAGGGTTCTAGAAATTGGGTGTGGGTGTGGGTGTGGGTGTGGGGTGTGGGTGTGGGGTGTGGGTGTGGGTGTGGG